TGTGGAGGCCGGCAGGGAGTGCTATGCTTTTATTTGGTACATTGGTGGGTGCCGGTCGAGACGCAGCGAGGGCAGAGCCTCGGCTGCAACACAAATTTTTGGAGGTCCGCACGGACTTCTTGCATCGGCGCGGGGGCTCCTTTGTGGTGCCTCCTGCGCCGCCCCCGGCGCTCCACGCGCCAGGGAGGGTAGGGGGCCCAGCGCCCAGCCAAGAAATCCGCGCGTTCCTCCGAAAGTTTGTCCATATGCAGTTTTTCTTCCACTATTGTCGCAGCTGGTGCTCTCGATGCTGTCTACAGTTGGGTTGGAAATGTAGTGTGCGATGTAGCGCCGCTGTCCCTTATTAAACGTTATCCCTCACCCTGGGGATAGCGTGCACCGAAGAAGCCTTGTCAGGGAGATGGCGTGCACATAAGGGACCCTCGCGGGGGGATCGTCTCACAGCGATAGCATGCTTTTCGGAGGTCGATGTTGCACGCTATCTCTCTACCCTCCAGCCGTACTCGTTGCGTGATACTCGACCTCGGGCCAAACGTCCGGATCGGTTTTGGAGGTCGCCGCGGCGATCGCGGCGGCGACAAATCGGGACAAGCCCCCCCCAGCGGTTTGCACAGGAGAAGTGGCTCGTGAGTAACTGTGAAGCGACAGAGAGCAGTTGTCAGTTTATGTCCAACATGGGCATCCTTGTTTTTTGGTCCCAGAGGGGTTCCTGGCCTGCCCAGCCTGCCCGGAGGGCCGAACCGCCCGAGCACCGACGGAACCGCCCGAGAGTTTAAGTGAGTCGCGTTTGAGGGTGCCTTTGACCTGCTCTTGTACTTCTCGTGCAGTTCTTCCCTTACTCTGCGCGGCTTTTCGGCACTTTGCCCGCACGCTGGCTCAGGTCCCCTCTTCCCTGCAAGCGGGAGCTGCGCCCTGCCCTCTCGTCCTGGCCACCCGCCCGCAGACGCTCGGTGGTAGTGAAGCTCTCGGGCGGTTCTGCCGGTGCTCGGCGGCTCGCCGGCCTCGGGAGGCGCTCCGGCGGCCTGCGCCTCGCTGCGAGCGTGCGACAGGGGGTGCCCGGGGATCGTCACGAGCGGCCGCCGGAGGCGCCGAGCTTTGTCAGGAGGGAAAGAAACACACAGACACAATTAATCGTCGACTCCCAGGAAAATATGCAAGAATATGGGAAGTGGTGGGGAAGACAAAAACCCAGAAAATATGTGAAAATATGGGGGATATTTTTATTTGTGTGTATTTATTTGTGTGTTCCAGTTCCCCTTCACTTTGGCCCGAGGGCCAGAGGACGAGGCGGATCGGGGGGGACGATAGGGGAACGAAGACTGGCATGAACATAGAATTTTCGGAGGTCCGCGCGGATTTCTGGGATCGGCGCCGGAGGCGCCGCCAGGGGGGTCCAGCGCGGATCCGAGAGATCCGCGCGGACCTCCGAGTGTTTCTGCTCATGCCATTTTCGCTCCCCCAGCTGGGCTCAGGGGGGGTGCATCGATCCCCCAGATTCATCGCCGGTAGTGGCCCCATGGCCGTTCACGCATCCACGTGGCCCCAGCTCCGACCGCACGCCGGGAGCTTCGGCCCTCGAGCGCGGCGCGGCGCGTCGGGCGCCCGTGCCGCCCTGCGCCCCCGCGGACCCCCTCTGCTTGCGCGCTCCGACGGTCGCGGCCCCGCGCTGCCCTTCGCGGCTCCGGCTGCTGCCGCGGGAGGCCCGGGCTGCTGCCCCGGGGAGAGGAGGCCAGTCCATCGCCATGAAGCGGCCCTTCGAGTCCGATCCACACAACCTGAGGCGCTCCAGAACGGGCCTCGCCTTCGAGCATCGAGCTAGGTGCCATGTCTTGCTGGCGGAAGGCAGCGGAAGTGCGGCGGAAGGCGGCGGAAGTAAAATGAGGGCGGCTCTGCCGGCGGAGGGCCAGCAGAAGCCCGCGGAAGCAAAGAGCGGCCTCCAAGAGATGGCGAGGTTTTTATGTTCAGGGTTGCGGGAGCCCGCCAGGACCTGCTGCTGCACCCCACCGGACCGTCGGGGGGTGGGAGGGGGTGGCACGGCATGGAGGAGAGCTCGACCCCCAGAGGCCAGATCCTCACCCATGCCCCCATCTCGGGGAAACGTAACGCTCGAGCAAGCCGGAGCTCGGGTTCGCCGACGTTTTTTGCCGACCGCGCCCTTGATTTTGACGGTCCGGTTTTCGTGGGATGTCTGCAGCGGTAGCTCGCGTCAAATTTCAGATCGGGTCTCGTATGACGGCCCCGTCAGGCCAACCCGAGTCCCCCCAAACGTTGCCCCTGCGGGGGCCGAGATCCCGCGGGGGGCCCGTGCCAAGCCGCGGGGGGGCGACGACGGAGGCGGAGGCTCCGCGCCTAACAGGCTCCCCGGCGAGCGCTGCGTCCTGGTGCCTTGGTGGCGGCGGGGTCGGCGGCGGCCGCGCGCAGGGCCGCTCCGCGGCGACCTCCTCCTCCTCCTCCTCCTCCTCCTCCTCCTCCTCCTCCTCCTCCTCCACCTCCACCTCCA